GCTGGAGCGTGGAGGTTCGGAACGCCTGGAAGGATGACCAATCCTCTCGCTGTTGTAGTGGTGACGTCATGGACATTTGTTGGTGATTGGCCAAGCTGGTGGGGAAAATAAGCAAAGGGCGTCCATTTCTTAAATAATTAAAAATAAAGTAAATGGCAGATAGATCTACTACCAGTATTAGAAATATCAATACTAATAGCAATAATAATAACATAATAATAACAAAAAATAACAGTAACAACAACAACAACAACAACAACAACAACAACAGCAACACTACTACTACTACTTCGCGCGCGAGGGATAGGGAGTCCAAAGGGGGTGGGGGGTTACACGCGTGGTTGGTTACCAAAATGAACCAGGGTCCTTTGTGAACGACCAAATTTATAATCTGCTAACTTTGAAGGTATTTTAACTCTTAGACGTCGGCCGATTTACAGACTAGACGCCGCCCTATTTTGTTTTCGTAATTCTCTCATTTGTCATAAATAGGCCTACCTGCCTGCCTATACTCTATTGTATCTTTACATTGTATCAAAAGTTCTTTATTTCTTTCTCGCAACTTCAGGGGGTTATACTTATTTTAAACTTATTTGTTGTGTGAGACCTATCTGTTATGCTGAAAATGCTACCGTTATAATAATATTAATGGATGAAAATTTTTTTTTTTTTTTAAATTTTTTTTTTTTGGGGGGGGGTTGTGCTTAACATGTTAAGCCTTTAAAACCTTTGTAAAGGCATATAACAGTGTATAATAATTATGCGCTTGACTTCTTTCCCTCAGACGGTAGCTGGCTGTAAGCGTGGGTTTCAATTAGGGTCTTCTTCTGATAGGTTAATGGTCAAACCATTGTTATCCTCGGGCGTTAAGGGTACTGCACTTACCCTCTTAGTCCTTTGTGTCTGAAACTCTTGTGATGACGTAATTATTTGGTCTGGACTGCTTGCGTCATAATCCCTTAACACGTAGCGACGGTGTTTGATAACTTTTGACTGTTATAATATCGTGACGTGTCACGCACCGCCTCCACAGCCACCAATCATCCCCCCCCCACCTCACGCCCTCTTTTCCACCTTTAATCCCCTACTGCACACAGATAAAAGGCACCTTTTTGTGGTAAACGAATTTTTGTAAAGTTCGCTTTTTTTTTGTTTTGTTTTTTTGCCAAACTTTATATGTTTTTGTTTTCCCTTTTAATTGTAAACCTTACTATCTTCTTCTCTCTATTATGTGAGGTTAAGGTTAAGTCTATAATACCTCTGATTATTCAACACTAGTCACCTTGTTCCTTAAGTCATGAGTCGAGAACCAGTGGAGTGTTAATGACTTTGGTTTGAAACGAATCTTTTTAAATCAAGACCTTGATAAACTTTCAATAAAAAAAGCAACAAAACAAACATCTTTTTCTAAATACATGTTATAATAGCCACCGTTTGCATATAAACACTTTTAGATTTGTTTCATCTTGTCCGGTTTTTGTTGTTGTTTTTTTCCTACTTAGAGCGGGTGTTTTATATCTTAACTGTAACACATTCTCCTGCTAATAATAGTACATTTATTACACTATCTCGCTAAATGGAGAAGACATAAGTAGAGTGAGCGATTTTACCTTTTTTGCTCACTAAACAAGGAGTTGTATTATACATGAGTTGCGAGCAACTACTGATTAGAAACATTGTTAGATTCTTTTCAAGGTAAAAGTCGAATCTGCCATGACGGCCACCTGAATAATACGGCCACCTTTAAACGGGCACTTTCCATTCCTCCCCTTTGGGTTGTTGTTTTTTCGATACAATTTAACTGAGTAAAACGGTCACCTGCCCAACGCGACCGCGGCCACTTTGTTTTATCAATTTTATCAACCTACTGTCAAAATTACTTGCCTCTGGCGGCCAGGCGTGGACACTCTTTGCATGAAGCTTCACTCTTTGTCAAAATTTTTGATTG